CTGGAGAATTCTGGGAGTTGAAGTCCACTCCTCTTAAAGTGGCCAAGTTTGGACAACACTGGTCTAAACTATCCATTTCTATTTCTCTGAATTTCTTCTTTTTCAGACTTAATTTTTCATTTGTTCCATTCACATTGAATTTTTGGCAGCTTTGCATAAAATCCGTATATATTTTTGGTGCACCATGGTCCTGCTACATTTCCCACAAGAAGCTTTCCTAACATATAGTTTTTGCCGAGGCATAACTTATGTTGCACTTTTCTTAACGTATCACAGATATAGATATACATAGATATAGATATAGGCAGAATTGCATGTCAAAATTGAAGAGTTAATTTGAAAAGAGAGGCAAGCCTCCATCTTGTTTTGAGAGGGTGAAATTGGATAAATTCAGATGAAATGCAATTCAGTTAAGTTGCCTCCTCTCCCTCTCTAGTTTATAGTAGATTACAACTAATCAGATGGGAGGGAGATGCTGAATTAAATCCTTGCTCAGTCTTAAAACGCACTGAAATTTTCCACTAATGCATCTTTTTTTTCCTCTCCTCTCTCTCCACATAACCAACCTCTCAGGAGTAAAGTTGAAAGGGAACTGCCCTTGAATGTCTGATGGGGAGCCGTGGAGTATAGAAACAGACCGACAGTTATAAAGAGATTTTGCACTATAAAACTAGCCTACCAAGTTTTACACTACCACAGATTAAAATGCAGAGAATCTACTTGATATTCCTATGGTTCTTGATGGTGTGTCCTTGCAAATAACTGAAAGCAGCTGATCTGACAGTCTCATTCATATCACTTATTTGTATCAGCCCAACTTGTTTGCCCTTTAGGTAACTCACAACACACACAAACATAAGAGACCTTTTTCTTAAAATGGCCAGATCTAATCATCTCTAACAGTTGCCTTCGTTTTCAAGATCAGTGTCCCCATCCTTGCTCCCACTCCCACCCCTCCAATAAATAGGAAGGAAAGGAATGTCAGTTCCTTATTGGGCCAGAGTTATCTTGAATTACCATCGTTCTAATTATTTTAATTGTTTTGCAATTAAGCTTGCAAAACAAAAATAAAAACATCCTTAGGGTTGAGGCTGTGTATTCGTCTCATGGTAAATGAAAATATTTGGGCCAAAAACCCACGCCTGTTTCATGCCTAGTCCAGAAAGAACATAAGACCTTTAAATATACATGTCCCCCAAGGATTACCCTAACTGGCAACAGTGGGAATGCGTCTTCTATTACAACTTGCACACCAAATAAATAAATAAATAAATAATTTTAAAAATTCTAAAAATCTAGTGGCGTTCAACACTCCTTTGAATGCATTCCAACAAAACGGCTTCCTGGTATTTTTGGAATTCCTGTCTTGCTTGACCAAAATGAGCTATTAAGCACGTCTCCTGATCTTGTAATAGCTTCTCGGTTTACCTGCAGCTCTGTAGATTTGGAGAATCTACCTTTAGAGTAGACATAAGGCAAGCCAGGTCTGGTAGGATAAAAGAAAAAGAAAGGCAGAGAGAACAAAAATGCTCCTTTGGCTTCAAGGTCTGCTAACTGGCTCCAACTGAGCTTTCTTCCCTGAGAACGTATCTCTTGATTGAACAGTTTTCTAACTTTAAAAGGACAAGCAAAGTTCCATGGCAGAACTCCTATTTTAACTTTGCAAGGCTCCACGTTCATTACACAGCCGTTCCATTTAAAAGTCTTCAAGGCTGGGAAAAGCATGCAACAGTGATCTTAGAGGCCATGCGTGTCTTTTGCTTCACGTCCAGCTTTGGAATTGGTGCCGAGTGATTCCCCTTGGGACAGGCCATGTGAGCTAGAACGCAGCCAGCTGTGGTGTAGCGCAGCCTGATACACACATACATTTTAAAAGGCAAAGGGATAAAACCATGTGCAAGATATATTTTCTCTGCTCAGTTGAGTTTTTCAGTCAATATTTATACCGCATTAGCTAAACAGGGTACACCGTTGTACTCCATCATGTTTTATTTGGCTGATTTTTTTTTTTTTTTTTAAGAACAATAACAACCAAGGGGAAAAGCAGCTCTCCCTTCCTGACAGATCTATTGCTTCATGTTTATGGACAATATATCACTTGCAAAGTCTTTAGGGTTCTGTTGGACATTCTACAGTATCATGTAAATAGTCACTATGAAATAAAGAAATGCAGTTTTATTAAAGTCAGTCTCCCTTGGGCTTTCCAAAATGCATATAAGCATGCATTTAGAATGCACACACAGCTTTATTTCCTAAGAGAAGAGCAACATGGAACAATGCTTTTGCCAAACCGTATTACTTTCACCTTTCTACTGTACCAATTTGGAATAATGGTCACTGAAAGGCTGAACGCCACAAATTAATTTGAATCCTTAACATGGATAGCATCCAAATATCAAAGGCATGGGGAGGGAAGAGAACTAAACTCTTGGGAATTGCTCATTTTCTCAAAGTCTCCACAATGAACAGAATCTGTGAAAAGGGATACCTACCTTTTCATATGTGTTTAGGTCTTCAGGAGATCAGGTCTAGAGAGACATGTGTGTGCAGTGACCTGTATCTTTTGGGGTATACTTTAAACAATAAACACCACTAGATGGCTGCACTAAACTGACCTTGGATGATCTCCAAAAGCTAAGCGAGATGGGACCTCTTTAATATCTGGGTGGAAAATACTAGAAAATCCCAAGATTATAGGCCAGGCTGGAAAATAAATAATAATTAAAAAGACGCCAGCCATAACTTCTATAGGAAGCATGGTCATGAGACACCCTGGATGTGTCTGTGTAGTCCTCAGAAGTCCAGATCAACTTGAAGGAAACTTTACCTTTACCTTATCTGAACTGAAAGGAGATACTTCTAAAAATACAACTCAATGTGATAGGGCACTTAAAGTATCTGTAATGGATGGAACCAAGTTTATTAACTTTCTATATCAGTCTTCCACAGCCTGGTGCCCAGCAAAGATTTTACTTCTAACCATAAATAGCCAATATGGCTTTGGTAAAAACAACCCTACGTGTTGAAAACAAGGTCATTTCTAGGGCTTACAAAGTGCTTTCTAGAGAGCTAAGCACTTCTCCAAGAATATCCGAAGCGTCAAGGTAGCTCTATCTCCATCTGTTTTGAGGGTCTTCTGAGGCTTTGTGCACACACTTGTGTGCATGTGGAGAAGACATATTTGCTGGGACTGCTAGCAAATCTCCCCAACTGGTTTGCACAACCCTAATGCTTATCCCTATAATTACACCTTACCTTCCTTTCTCAACCAGTAGCAGAACATCTGTTTTTTCTCCATTTTGGACACAGCTGCTGATTGCTGAAAAATGAAAGACAGATCCATTTACAAACTTCAACAAAGTACAGGACCATTCTGATAGGTGGCCTTGCTGCCTTGTGGGAGGTAGAATTTGGGGGAGATAGGACAAGTTTCCTAATTGCCTGGTTTAGTCAAGCTTCATTGGAAACCATGATGGCTGGCCAGGAAGTGGCACTGTAGCTCTTCCTCCTCTGGTGCTAACTTTTGCACAGCTTTGCAATGCCAACTTTACAATGTTACAAACTACTTCTTGCAGTCTGATTTTATTACAGCTATTCCATCATTATAATTACCAAGGCAACACAGTTAATTGATATATCACAGTACTTGACAATATTGCTTTACACATTACGGGAGATGTGTGTGAAGAAACCATGGGATTCAGGAAAAGATTTAGGCAAGGAGATTCATATCTATCCACGATGGGCTTCCTTCTTATTCTTTTAAGCATGTGAAGTTTTCAAAGTGCTATGAAATCAACCTAATAAACGTTTTTTTCAAAGTCTTACTTAACTCCTGGAGCCGCCGTAGATACATTGAATTCTCTTGAGAATTTTCCAGTTCTAGGCAAAAATACAAGCTGGTCTTCTCTAGAGCAAACCAGCCTTTTTTCCAATTATCAAGATTATGGCAGTCTTTATAGAACAGCTGGCCAATTACATCAGCATTCCTCTCCAGAAGACATCTGGCCAATTCAGGTACAAAGTGCTATTTCAAACAAAAACAAATATTAGGGCTCAGTACAAAGGTGTGACCAGAGGCTCCTATCACACACTTCTTAGAATTCAAAAGTTCCAGAGAAGCCTACAAAACTTTATTCTCCATCAGTACTTTTTGAAACAGAAGAGTCAGAATTTCATTCAACCAGGAAGAAAAACATCTACTCTTAAAATTGCATCTAACAAGTTTGGTGGAATTTTCTAACCCAAGAATATAAAATCATTTATAAAAAACACTTAGAATTTTTATTTATGTTTGTGCATTGTTTCCTTAAAAGCACAAGAACCATTTCCATTAAGAAAGAAAACTATTTTACTTCTTCAAGATCCAAATTTGCTTCCATTAAAAACCTGGCTTTGTCTTGTGCTAAAACAACAGCGTTTCTTTCCACTTACTTTTAAGGTGCTTGGCTTAACTTGAACAGATAATTACCCAAATTACCTTGGCAATTGCCTGAGTCCATTTTCGTTGAGTATGCGCAGCTTCAGCACCAAAGAGAAACACACGTTCTGACAGTAAGTAGATTTCAAAGGTAAACAGAGCTCTAAAATTGCCAAGGACAAGATGAATCAAATTTATTTAGTATTAGCTTTACAAAACAGTAAATGGTACAGTTTTCTCCCAGACCTCTGAGTCTCATTCCTCTTGCCTTGGAAACTAACAGCAAGAGGTACACTCTCTAACGTGCTTTATTTGCATTGCATTTATTTTGCAGATAATGGAAAATCAATATGTATTTGATAGTCTAATGAAGAGGGAATGGAGGAGGGATAAACTATACTGGGAAATGAACACTAAAATAATAGAGCTAAACCAATAATTTAGGTTGGGAAATAACAATGTTCAGCATGTTGCCCAATCAAGTTGAGACTCTATTTCAAACTGAGAAAAGAGCTAAGTCTTCTGAATTACATGTAACTACACCCCTAGAACTTTTGCACCTGAAATGGAAAATATGGTGTCTTCAGTCTATGTGCATGCAAACACAAACACAGATGCATGCACACAGCTACTGCAGAAAGCCTTTCATTGATAGATTTAAAGGTCATGCCACCTTTTTTACAGGTACTGCACAAGGCATTTTCAGCTACAAAGAAGAGACATTATGAAAAGCACCTAGACCTACCTCACCTTGTAAGTTTCATCTCCTACTGATGTAACTGTCACAGTTTTCTAGATCTTTGACCTTATTATGGTTGGTCACACAGTCAGTCAGAAGTTTAGATTGGATTTGGCACTTTTATCCACCTATCAAGTCCTTCCCAAGGACCTGGGATAAGCAGATGTTGTTGCTTGATG